GCGTCGATCATAGCTCCACAGAGGCGGGTGATTTATATTTTATCAACCTGAAATAGAATTTAAAAAATGAATAAGAAACCAATTTTTAACATACGGGAAGATTGAAGAATAAAAACTGTACATAATATAATGCAGGAGGGTGAACTACGCCCGAACATTACACATAGGCATACCCTCTATGATGGAGGAGGGGAGCGTGGTGAAACTTTTAAAGCGAAGCTCCGTTATAGAAACAGCAATTCAGCCATCGTTGTTCGTCCTAAACCTTAAGGTTCCTATGTTTGCTCTAAATCTAAAATGGGCAGTTGCTTAATACTTACATTTTAATTTGAACAGGTTAATCTTCGTTTCAAATGGCTTTGACTCGCTCAATCTCTCTACCTTAAAGTAAAACAAAGCAATACTTGTTATAGACGGTGATATCCGCAAGTTATTCAATAAAAAAACTTAAATATTAGGAGAAAGCACGCGTTGAAATAGGCTCTCGTGTGTATGAATTAAATAGAAACGAATAGATATGTACCTGTTCATTTCAGCAACTACGAGACGAGCAGCTTTGGACTTGCTGTCTCATTAAACGAGAGTCATGCATCTCGGACAATTTCAGCCGTTGTCGATGGCGAATTTCTTGCCCACGGTATTTCTTTTAGTTTTACTTTAGCTCTTATAACTCTGCCTGAAAAGAGTAGAAGGCAATGTTAGTTTTCTGCGAAGCCTTTAGAACTTAATTGAAAGATATAATTTGCTCTAGTTGAAGCGAAGGTTGGTGCATGGTTATAGGATTCAGCTGGTCGAGTTTGACCGCGCGATATCAAAACGTCCGCAAATTCACATGGATTTTAGCACGTGTAATAATTACCTTTTTCATTTCACCAATAAGCTCCGAGAAAAAGCTAGTCGTGCCCTCTCTTCAAAGGCGAGTTATCTTGAGCCATTTCAGCCACAATTTATCGGTCATCAATCTCTTGTTCGCGAATTTCATCGTCAAGCTTGGTTTTAAGTCGTCAGAATTTTGTCTGCAATGAATAAAAAGCAAGGTTAATGTTATAAGAACAATTTCAAATCGAACACAAGGCGAATAAACTTGGATTTTTGGGATTACACGTGGTGAAGTTGGGCCACGTTGCATGCTGAAATATTCGCCCAAAATCTCTCACTAAAGCAAGCAGATAATCGTAAAGAAAAAGGCATATAAGTACCTGTTTTTCACACCAACGACAGCGGCACAGCGCGACAGAGATACTAAACTTTTTTTCTGTAGAAAGACGTTATCATTGATAGCGATTTCCGACGAAATTTTGAGCATTTGAAGTGACTTGTGTTCATGCTTTGAAGACCAGCGCCCAAATGAAGCCTCAAACAGGTTGCATGGTATATGACTAATAAATTAGCCCAACATTGTTATAAGCGAGCCTTTGTTTGTTTTAACTGCTGAAACAAAGATTATGTTAATTTGGCTTATTTTTATCCAATAATCTTGCCTCAAATTTGAACCTGAGCTAGATCATTTCCATTTTGCCTGCTCCAGTGCTCCTTGCGATAAAGAATAAGCCAAGCTATTGGCTGATAGACCCGTCCTGACAGCTCAGATTTAAATAATAAAAATTATGATTAATTCTTCTTCTGAGCTCGGAATGATTGACATAAAAATTGAAAGCTTTTGTTATTTGAAAGCCTATTACAATACAATGAAATCAAACTGAAAACTGAATTAATTTCTTTATTCTCCCTAAGTTACTCAAACGCTTACATTTGTCGATATATACTTATGTCTAGTTGACTAGTTTTGGCTTGCCCAGGTTCAGCTAAGATTCGAACCATAGACTTACCACTTGGGATACCATTGTCTTCACCACTAGACTAAGAGATCTTGTGCTGAACGCCTATGGTTATTTAATTTTCTGTATACTTTTCTCGAAGGTCATAAGGAAAAAAGAGTTAAGAACAGATTCGAACCATCGGCTTACCGCTTGGAAGACCATTGTCTTAGCCACTATACTACGAGATCTTGTGCTGGACGGCTATCGTTATTTAATTTACTTTATACTTTTCTCGGCGGTCATAAGGAAAAAGAGATAAAACCAGATTCGAGCCATCAAATTGCCACTTGGAAGACCATTGTCTTCACCACCAGACTACGAGATCTTGTGCTGAACGTCTATGGTTATTTAATTTTCTGTATACTTTTCTCGAAGGTCATAAGGAAAAATAAGTTAAGAACAGATTCGAACCATCGGCGTACCGCTTGGAAGACCATTGTCTTAGCCACTAAACTACGAGATCTTGTGCTGGACGGCTATGGTTATTTAATTTACTTTATACTTTTCTCGGCGGTCATAAGGAAAAAGAGTTAAAACCAGATTCGAGCCATCAAATTGCCACTTGGAAGACCATTGTCTTCACCACCAGACTACGAGATCTTGTGCTGAACGTCTATGGTTATTTAATTTTCTGTATACTTTTCTCGAAGGTCATAAGGAAAAATAAGTTAAGAACAGATTCGAACCATCAACTTACCACTTAGAAGACGATTGTCTTCACCACTAGACAACGAGATCTTGTGCTGGATGGCAAAGGTTATTTAATTTACTTTATACTTTTCTCGAAGGTCATAAGGAAAATGAGTTAAGAACAGATTCGAACCATCGGCTTACCACTTGGAAGACCATTGTCTTCACCACTAGACCACGAGATCTTTTGGTGAACAGCTATGGTTAATTCATTTACTTTATACTTTTTTCGATGGTCATAAGGAAAAAGTGTTAATACCAGATTCGAACCACCAACTTACCACTTGGAAGACCATTATGTCCACCACTAGACTACGAGATTTTCGCTGAGCCTCTACGCTTGTTTCATTTACTTTATCCTTTTCTCAAAGGTCATAATGAAAAAGAGCTTGGCTTAGATTCGAACCATCAACTTACCACTTGGGAGGCCATTGTCTCCACCAATAGACTACGAGATCTTGTGCTGGACGACTGTGGTTATTTAGTTTTCAGTATACTTTTCTCGAAGCTCATACGGAAGAAAGATTTAAGAACAGATTCAAACCATCGGCTTACCACTTGGAAGACCATTGTCTTCACCACTAGACTACGAGATCTTGTGCTGGACGGCTATGGTTATTTAATTTACTGTATACTTTTCTCGAAGGTCATAAGGAAAAAGAGTTAAGAGCAGATTCGAACCATCAACTTACCACTTGGATGACCATTGTCTTCACCACTAGACTACGAGATCTTGTGCTGGACGACAATGGTTATTTAATTTACTTTATGCTTTTCTCGAAGGTCATAAGGAAAAAGAGTTAAGAACAGATTCGAACCATCAACTTACCACTTGGTAGACCATTGTCTGCACCATTAGACTACGAGATCTTGTGCTGGGCGGCAAAAGTTATTTAATTTACTTTATACTTTTCTCGAAGGTCATAAGGAAAAAGAGTTAAGAGCAGATTCGGACCATCATCTTACTACTTGGAAGACCATTGTCTTCACCACTAGACTGCGAGATCTTGTGCTGGGCGGCAACGGTTGTTTAATTTACTTCATCCTTTTCTCAAAGATCATAATGAAAAAGAGTTTAGCTTAGATTCGAACCACCGGCCTAACACTTGTGAGACCATGGTCCTCACCACTAGACTACGAGATATTGTGCTGGATGACCAAGATTATTTAATTTACTTTACACTTTTCTCGATGGTCATAAGGAAAAAGTGTTAAAGACCAGATTCGAACCACCAACTTACCACTTGGAAGACCATTGTCTCCACCAAAGGAATGCCAGATCTTTTGCTGAACGGCTATGGTTATTTAATTTAATTTATACTTTTCTCGAAGTTCATAAGGAAAAAGAGTTAAGAACAGATTCGAACCATCAACTTACCACTTGGAAAACCATTGTCTTCACCACTCGACCACGAGATCTTTTGGTGAATGGCTATGGTTAATTCATTTACATTATACTTTTCTCGATGGTCATAAGGAAAAAGTGTTAATATCAGATTCGTACCACCAACTTACCATTTGGAAGACCATTATCTCCACCACTAGACTACGAGATTTTTGCGGAACCTCTACGCTTATTTCATTTATTTTATCCTTTTCTCAAAGGTCATAATGAAAAAGAGCTTAGCTTAGATTCGAACCAGCAACTTACAACTTGGGAGGCCATTGTCTCTGCCAGTAGACTACGAGATCTTGTGCTGGATGACCATGGTTATTTAATTTACTTCGTACTTTTCTCGAAGGTCATAAGAAAAAAGAGTTAAGAATAGATTCGAACCATCGGCTTACCACTTGGAAGACCAATGTCTTCTCCACTAGACTACAAGATCTTGTGCTGAACGACTATGGTTATTTAATTCAATTTATCTTTTTGTCGAAGTCCATAATGAAAAACAAGTGTTGCAAAATTTTTAAAAATACTTTTGATATAATATTTGGCTTGATATAATATTTGGTTGATATAATATTTGGTTGTACGAAGCTGGGTAGCGCTATCCACCGGACAGTGATTTTTTCAAACTTTCTAAAAATGTTTGAAAAGCCAAAAAATTTTAGCTTTGGGAGCAACAATTATTAAGGAGGATCCTCACTTTTGGAATACTAAGATCAAATCAAACAACGGGCGATTTTGAAGCGATTGAAAAATCCACTATCCGGTGGATAGCGCTATCCAGCTTTCATACAACCGGCCCCAGGCCTATACCATGGTTGTGGATTTTGAATATTATCAACATAGCATCTCTGTTTAAAACAAAGGAATCAAAGGCCAAAAACAATGTTTTGGCTTTTTTATTCAGTAACTTTAAGAACTTTAATCTATAAGCTAAGCGCCTTTCGAACAACCCTGAGAACGACGCTAGGTGGAATACTCCCGGAGAAAGAACGCCAGGAATATCACCCCTTGGGAAACTTTCCCCGATGATATCATCGACTTCCGGTGCGGATGATTCATCGTTCGATTGCGACATACATCTGAAACAAAAACAATAATCACACCACCACCAGCACCACGATCATCATGGCGAATGAAAGGGCGCAAAATAAATGAAGAGTTTACCACGCTTGGCTCGTCTTGCCGGCGATCCACGGCGCAGAGGCATCTCTTCTGCCGTTAAACTCCATTCGGAGCGCAGATACAAAAACCAGGAATGGTCGTACGTGAATCAGGCGGCGATCGAAAACTGTGCTGCCAAGGTAAGGCATAATTTTTGACAATCGACGCTGATTTCAAAACGCGTCCGCGCTGCAAGTGCAAGCCATTCAAACTTTTATACTCCAAATGTTCATTTCGATACAATCCTACTTCAGTGGACAATTTTTTACTGAGAGATCACATCTTTTGCTAGTGTTTTGTTAGACATATATTATATCTGCATTTCGTCTCTTCGTAAATTTATACATGGAAATACCCATAGCGAAGCGTTGTGCAAATATATAGTTTAATATTCCTAGCTAATTTGATATATTATTAAAGCCACGCTTTTCAGCTAAAAATTTACTCTGCAAACATCCTCTTTTGTTCAAATTAGATGGCAATCTTCCTCCGTGCATGAATGATGACAGTTATGAATTCCAATTATAAACAGATATATTTCAACGTATTTCAATATCAGGAAACGACCGAAACGTACGACTAAGAAACTTTTTTTTTCAATGCCCTCGAAGGTCAAGTTCTGAGAACCACATATTGGCTTAGAAATGATTATCCATTGATCTTTGTGCAGATTCGGCTGTCTATACAAAATACCTGAACTTCTAGTAATTATATATTTTTGGCGCAGGGACTTTCTGAGAACAAGTCATTGGTAATAATTTCATGTCTAGAATCCACAAATATAATCCTTCATTTTAATGCTTTAGTATTTATTTTGCAGCCATCTATCAAGATGACACCATATCAAATGCTACATGCTGGAAAATTTGGAGATGGTGCACATTTGATTGTAAGTGCTATATTGACTTATCAAAACATTTAAAAAATTTTTTTTTTGGTTTTCAGATCTTTATTCATACATTCTTTGTTTGTAGAGAAATGTGCAGTTTCTTCAAAACGAGCTTGTCATACGGGTTGCTAGACGCTTGGTTGCTTTTCATTCACTTCCTTACATTGTTGCAGTAAATCCAGACATCTCTGAAACTGTAAGTAGTGATTTTATTGCAAAAACACTCTCCAGTTATATTAGGCAAATTATTCCCATGTTTTAAGATGCACTAATAGTTTCTCTGTGTTCTTCTGTTTTAGTATGAATTATACATCCGTGCATTCAACCTTCTTTATTCAATACCCAAGGTAAAAATAAGAATTTTCCAAGCTATACTGATGTTGTTTAAGTTTCCGTAGTACTTAATAAAATGTGCCTGAGTTCAGATAAAAGATTTACAAGCCGAAAAAAAGTACAGCAAAACTGTGAGATCATTACTGGATGATCATGGCCATGTTGTCACATCCCTGGCTCGTGGTTTTAAAGGCTGCAAACATCAAGTACGTGTAAGTTGAACATAACATAGAGAATCCCGGCTTTATGTCCCTACAGTAAATATATAAACTTACTCTGTATATTTGGTTTCTGATCTTTAAATGGAAACAGTATGGCACAATTCATTCCTTCCTGGACAAAACATTGAAATCACGTCTCGGCATGAGACTATTGGCTGAACATCATATTGCCCTTCGAGAGGAAAAGGTAACCGATTTTTGCAATGTGAGATGTATTAACCATTGAATATTTAATGATAGGAACAACAAAAAAATATCAATCTTTATTTGTTTAGAGCAATTTTGTTGGGTGTATTGCAACTAATTTGCATTTGAAGACTATGATTGAAAGATGTGCGGATTTTGTCAAGTATGTAAATTCGTAAGGTCAGCCTCTGCTCAACCAGCCACATTCATCAATGCAAATAGCTAATATTCTGTATTGACTGTGATTACAGGCAGGTGTGTGAACATCACTATGGTGTCAGCCCAAACATAGTCGTCAATGGCCACACAGATACATCCTTTTCATATTTCCCCTCACCTCTGGAATATATTTTGCTGGAACTCTTGAAAAATGCAATGAGGTAAAAAGATCTAGTCCATATTAAATTTGCCATTCGGATCAAGCACATGAAATGTTTCCCGGCTCATACTTCAGATATTTTTTAACTTTAGATCGACTGTTGAGTTTCATGGTGACAAATACACCTTTCAATCGTCCTCCTTGCCAAGGGTAGAAATTACTATTTGCTGCAACGAAACAGATTTCACAATAAGGTTAGTTGTCAACCAAATAAATGAAATCCCTACATCAAGGCCTTTACCATTGTAAGATCTGAAAGTTGTGTTTACTTCCCCTTAAACTGTTTTCCCCATTTTTTTCCAGGATTTCAGATCGAGGTGGTGGAATTTCAGATGAAATGATGGAACAGATATTCCACTATTCCTTCACTACGTTCAAAAAAGATGCAGCTGGTAGTAGCACAAACGTCCTCTCCGACTATAACCATAATGCAAATCTATCAGGAACCATTGGCAGTATGGCTGGCTTTGGTTTTGGTCTGCCAACCTCACGAGCCTATGCAGAATTTCTTGGAGGAGCTGTGAACCTACAGACACTCCATGGTTATGGAACTGATGTTTATATTAAACTAAAGCGAATCGATGGGGATCAGGATAGCTTTCGTTTGTAAAAAATTGGGGGTAGAATGATATCTTTAGACTTTGCACTCAGGCCAAAATCTGAGTGGGAATATTTTGAAATTGATGTTTCAAAGTAAAACTAAAATTTAGATGTTTTCTTCGATCTCATAACTATAAGATAGAATGACATAGTCATATCTCAATTGTATCATATTGTGTTTTTACAAGGGAAAAGTTAAGCTTACCCTACTGTGACATTGCAGTGCATTGAACTGGTAAGACAAGTTTTCATGTGCTAAATGCTCAAAAAATAATGGATTACTATTATCCCTGCTAAAATATGGTACATGAGAAGTGAACCTTTAAACTAAATCTTCAGAAATATCAATGACCTCATATCAAACACTGGTATGCAACCATTACCTACTAAAAATGAAGTCAAACTGAATGAAAATCTAGAGACCCAAAACAGAGGTAAAACTTTGCTTATCAAAAGAAAACTTTAGAAACAAAGTGACACTAACTGAAGCTTAACCATGGAAATACATAGTTACCCTTCTTGGAAAGTTGTTATTCCTTCATTCTTTTCAATTGTTTCTCTGGGTACTTTAACAATTCTGGTTTGTTTTTGAGTAATATTATAGTTCTATAGATCCAGTGTATTTTCAGCTCCGTGGGTCTCATACGAAAGCGGTAAAATACGGTGGTAAATAATGTAGCCTAGATTTCTATAATAATTTGTATATTGATAAGATTATTGTTACATTATCATTATGTGCCAAGTTCTACAAATTAAAATAAATGCAATTTTAACACTACAAACATGCTTCGACACACACAATGTTTATGTGCCACACAAACAAGACACTGACCAGACCTTGAATTTTTATAGCTTTTTTGCCGCTTATAGTAAACTTTTTCATAATGTTAAAAGCGGAGAACCTGATGTTACACGAAGTTTGATTGGCTGCCCAAAGCTAACGAGCCAATCAAACTTCGTGTTGCATCAGGCTTTTCGCGTTAAACTACAGGAACTTGAGTGTTTGACTAAGGCGCACAACACAAGTTATTTTCAAGCAGAAGTTCTTGTAATTGAAGGTAAATTAGCGAACCGCCCAGGCTAGTCTGTGGTATAAACCTTCCCAAAAAAGTCTGCTCTGTGGCGTAGTTTCCGGACAAAGCATGCATGCTTCTGATTGGTCAATGGGCCCAGTTGACCAATCAGGTACGTGGTTTCTCCGAAATACGTCATAGAGCAGACTTTCAGAACAAAGTCTCGAATCTCGATTTCGTGTTAACTATTATTGTAAAATGTGAGTCACTCACATGAACGCGTAAATAGAATAATTTCGAAAGGCTCACGCAAATTGATTAAAACCTATTATGAACACTGATCTGTGATTATGAATGCATCATCCGTGAACTTGACGGTAACAGAAATTTGAGAAATATTTGAGCAAATGTAGATCAACTTTAAGCGATAAATTCATGGAGCATTTCATCAACATGCAAAATCCTCCTGGTAATGACAGTAATGGCAATTTACCGCAAGTCTAGAGAACGGCATTCATAGATGAAAATCCCGAATGGAGAATGTATAACTTCAAAATTCCGCGATTCACTAAATGCAACAAAAAAACTAACAACAGTTACATTATTTGGCTACCCATTCTAGTTTTCTGGTCAATGATATAAATGTTATTTTTGGAGTACTTCGGAGAGGCACAGCCCCCCGTATTGTTCATCCTTTCTCCGCAAATCACCCCCCCCCCGGTCCCGCAGGCTGCCGTCAACTGTATTACGTCATACCTCCGCCTCGCGATAAACCTTCATTTGCCCGGGCTGTTTATCAGGGGTGTAGAACACGGGTGTGGGGCCTCGGGCGTTGGGACTTCGTGGGGAACGCAGCGAACTGGGCTCCGGTTGATTTTCCGGAATTTCAAGGTTCGTTCTTTGCAACGGTTGGGGTGAAATTCCGTCCGTCTGTGAAACACAATATAAAAAAACACAATTTAAAAAAATAACCTCTAAGTAGATGTGCGAGAGCCTATCATTTACACCTGCAATTTTTGCCAAGAATTTTCAGTGAAATTTTCTTCTTTGCAAGTGCAAGAAGGCATTGAAAGTTTAAGATATGCGAAGACGGTAGAAGAAGTCAGGTATATACCTTAGTAGAGTTCGTCCCATTGGAATTTCGCGTGTTTGTAAAGGACATCTGATGATTCGGCATCGTTTCCATTTCAAACCTCACGTCGTGAGGTGAAGCTTCTCCGTTTACAACTGATCTTCCTTCATCCAGTTTTTCACAATGCAAGTGTCTGCAATTAAACAATAGAACGACGCATTTTATTATGGGTGTTTGAGGCGGGCATTGATCTAAACATAAACTGGATAACGTGTAATCTCTTGTGTCGCCGTTGAAAACAGAGTTGCTTATGTTGTCATTATATAGTTGAGGTTCTGTTTGTCAGTTGTTGTAATTGTTCTTACGAGTGTTTGTCTAATCATGTTCAGACTTTTAATAGTGGATTTTGTAGAATACTCAATAAAACTGTAAACCAGGTTGAAAAACAAGAGTATTAGAGTAGGAAGCCAGATTGGCAAAAAGAGTTGAGACTTCCTCCGGATAGGAAGATTTCAAGTTTTGAAAACCTTCCTCAAAATGACGTCACGTCAAACATGAATCATGCAACCAGCATAATGTAATATCGGGGTTTTTGGTACAAGCATGTGATGAATTAGAGTGTTTTTGCAACTCTGAAAGAAACTTACCGAGGTTGTATAGGAGAGCAAAATACATTTTCCCAATTTGCAAAGCAACCTCTATTGAATGGATTGACACCTTTTCGAACTTTTCCAGTGACCTGAAAATCACGATAAGTCATGCAAAAACATTTCAATACAAGTCTTCAGATAAAACTGTGGTAACATGACTGTGGGTATGACTCTAGGTTAATTAATAGTATAGCTCTTCACGTAATAGTTCAGTTGGATCAAAAAGCATTTACAAAGCATTCAAATTATGTGACTCTATCAGCAAAGGAGGTCGGTAAGACGGGTAACATCATATGATTCACTTGATGGTAATTCAGAGTAGCACCATCAGATTATGTGGTAATAAATATTTAAAAATATTCTAGCTGCACATGATAATTTGTATTAGATGCACAGATTTAAAGATTTTTTGACCATTACTTACCTGTTCATTTGTTGTTCTGCCACAGGAAATTAACCCAATATGAAAGAAAGTAAGGCCAAAGACTGGAAAGGCCACTAGACCACATATAACCATTATTATAAGACTGAGACTAAGTTAAGGAATAGGTAACGAGTATACACTACCAATCACGTACTATCAATATAAACAATCATTCTTTCCAATGTGATTTTAAACCTAAATTTTCGTGGTTCAAAAGCCGGTTGTATCAAGCCTGTAAGCAAGTCTATCATTTTATTCAAGAAGCAAACTAAATGTTTTTAACTTAATACAAATTAAGATACTGTTTACAACTACATATTCAGTGCATAAGTTGACTCATTCAAGAGAGATATGTAAGAGTGTTATTTAATTTTGACTTATCCACTGTTTAAGTTGAACAGGCTTGATACAACCGGGCCCAGATGAACAATTTTAAGAGGCAAATGAGAAAACTTCTATTCAAATTCTTTTCACAACATAGATAATTCCAAATCCCAGAATGTGACCTATGTCTTCATATTTAAGGATACGATGCAATAACATTATTATCCTTAAAATCACCATCTAATTTAAGGGTTGCCACCAAGCAAAAGGTGAACACAGAGATGAGCTGTATGGTGAGGGATGATAAGAACAGGAAGAAATATCGATAGTTCCTCTTGCCAACACAGTTGTCCACCCAGGGGCAATGGTGATCAAACACCTAAAATATACAGACCATTTAAACAAATTTGTGTTGGAAATTTTAATTGTCCCCTTCCCTGCTGTAGTCATGGACTAAGTTTCCACCCTACAGGGATATATCTCAAAATTGCATGCGTATGCTAGCAATGATTGAAACTAGACTACAAAAAATTCAGATTTTGTTCGATTTCCACTCGAAAGTAAGACCCATTAAGGATGAAGTGTCACTAAAGTTTGTTCTATTGTTAAAGTATTTTGTTTACTATGACTATTATACATACCTCAATGCATCTATTGCAAAGGCTACAATGTGAACATCTCGGTGGTCGATAAAACTTGCAAGTTTCACACCATTTCATTTTAATCTGGATCCCATTGATCTCAACACTTTTGAACAACGGTGATTTGAAATCATCCTCCGGAATGGCTTTCAAGGCAACTTAAATTTATAGCAAAACATTTTTAGCGAGGAAAATTCATCTGCCATTTTAATTGGGTTTTGATCATTCAAACTAAGTCTTCCTTTATACATTGTGGCATTTATACAGCTGAGTTGTGTAAAGGGCTGTTGTCAGAGTAAAGATTTGCTGTTTTTACTCTAAATGATAAATTCCCTGCCAAGATTGGAAATGGGGAAATTCATGTTAAGCTATATAGAAGAAGGTCGGAAGATTGCAGCCATATTTATGTTAGAATGTTCCAAAGTGTCTTGGGTATAACTAAATTTGTGCCAAAATTCATACTTTTATCCACTGTAAGAGGATTACTTTGATCTATTGCTGTATATAAATGAATTGTCAAATTTTTGGGGGGGAATCTCATATCAGCTATACATAGAGTGACAACTGGTGAGGTGTTTTAACTTTCCCATTTCATTTAAATCTAAATTTTATCAGCTGAGGTTGAAATGAAAGGTTAAAAGAGATGATAGCTTTGTTGCGTTTTAATCAAACATGTCTGAATTCGTGACAGTACAATACGATGTTCAACTTCCTGTTTATATATTATAAAGAAATTCGAAACCTTGGCTGTCCAAAATATATTTTCAAAATAACCTTAGAAGTGAACAATCCCTGGCCTGTTTCAATTTGTCAAATAGATTACTTTATATTTCATTTAACACGTACGTGTAAAAATTCAAAGTGAATGAAACTACTAGAATTAACTCAGGTTCTTCGAATCTTTGTCTTTTAAAACTTCTTCAAAATTTTATTGAAAACTTAATTGCTTTTCCACCGAGACTCCGTTTATAACTTTGAAACAAAGCTAAGCATATTTACAGATAACATCACTTTACGTTAGTTTTTTAATGTGTTCAAATATTTAAGGACTGCCCGATGCTGATTTGAAGTCAATAAATATCATTTAATATAAATACACAATTTCATGCTGTTTACACATACTCGGTCTTAATTTTGAGGTTTTAAACAAGTCATTTTAACCAAACCCTGCTGGCCACTTACCTCTGGGAATCTTGCCAGGATCTTGAATCGTAGCTTGGAAAAAGTTACTGATGATAACCAAGGTTAAAATTGCTTCGTACACAGCTATCAAAGGCGAAACCGTCGTGACGAGGTATCGACATCTAAAATCAACAAAAAATACAACATTGTTTCGAGGGATTTTGAAATATTTCAGACCTCGAAGTAACTAGATACGTACGGGAATACGAAGAAGATGGTGGTTGTGGCGATCAGGAGGAATAAAGCTAAGAAAACAGGCACTCTTTTTGAACTACATAATTTTCGTCTTTCTCTATGATCGCTCATTTTCCTTTTAAATTTGTGAGATTGTTCCCGGCGCCAAATTTTACCCGCTAAAATACTGTTGTTCGCCGATTCCGCGAAATGTTCCCGCACTTTTGACAGTTGCTCAAATTCCTCTGAAGTTCACTCTTTATCCTTAAAAACAGGAGTTAAACGAATTTTAATAAAATAAAAATGGAATTAGGGAATTATTTTTCCTAGGAAAAATAGAAAAAAGTGAAAGGAAGTTCAAAGTTTCGAAGTTCTCTCAAACAAAATATTTTGATTCTAAATATAGAAGATTACAATTCTCAATTTCTTTCATTATTTTCTTTGCAAATTACACTTCTTTGTTCTAATATTGCACCTTTGAAAAGCTCATAATATAATCCTGCAATATTTCTCACGATATTACTGATGGATTAACTACGCTTTGCACACGAATGGACTTTCATAGGTATCGTTTTAAATATAATCTGTTCAATTTGAGATGAGCTACATGTGTTGTCATCGTGGAAGGTTAAGTTTTCGCTTTTCACATCCAATATATATTTCCCTTGCTGGGTTTAATCACTTTTGATACGTAATGGACAGGTTAGAAAGTATATTGGGGACGCGTTTTTAAAATGGGAGACAATGAACTTGCCTCGTTTAGGGAAAAATGGAAACATGAAATTAAAACAAAACAGCACCTTGCTGAAAATTGTAAAATAACCCAAGTGGCTAAAATTGACCCAGTATCTAGCGCAAATGAACCCAAAGGCGGAAACCCACGCGTAAAAAATATATTAAACACTGCAGAACAGGAAGACACAAGTACATTATATGGTTGTAATTTCTCATCAGATTCCAAAGGGCCAGTTTGTTCTGAGAATTTCAAAAGTGTTTCTAAGAAATCTAAGCTAGAGCAGAAACAACCAATAGCGTTGCTTACACTTGAAACTCTCACTTACAATCGAACAGAAGGTGCAGAAATTAGTGCTAAAACTGAGCAAACACATAATCCAAAATTACCTTGCCAAGCAAACGAGGATTTACTGTCTTTGTTGATCAGAGATATTGATGAAACAACATCGATTCCTTTTTTTGACATCAGTCTCCCAAAGGAGGTCTGCATAAAGATCTTCAGCCATTTAGATGTGGTTGACTTGTGCATGTGCTCATGCGTTAGTAAGGCTTGGTCGTTCATTGCCAACGATGAGTTACTATGGTATAACCTATATGAAAGGTTAGGTTTCACCAGACATGGTGGTGATGTAAGGGAAAAAGTTGGCTGGAAAGGTATTGTGAAGGATCAAATGTTAAAGCAACGTTTGGTGGCCCAAAACTGGAAAGAGCGGATCTGTCAGATTCAGACCTTTGAATATGAAAAAGGTGCTTTTTTTAAGTTTTATTGGTTATTCCATGGTCACAACATCTGAAATTGGTTAATTTGCATGCAAGTTAAAATGGTCTAAACAACCACCTCTCTAATTTTTCTCACTTCACTTAAATGGTCACCTCTCTAATATGATCAACTCTCTATATAATATGATCACCTCTCAAATAACAATACCCTCCCTAATATTACCACCCCTCTAACTTAGACACCTTTGCTATACAATCACCCCTCTAATATGATCAAATCTTAAGAGAAATGAATTTTTACCTTGAACTAAACCCTCTTCTTTAGGTGGGGTTTTAACAGCATGTCAGTTATGCGATGATGTCTTGATAGCAGGTTATGCCAATGGTAAAACATGCTTGTGGAATGTTGAAACCAATCGACAACATTCTCTTGAGTCATCAGCAGAAGTTCATCAGGACCCAAGCAAAGCTAGCGTTGAATGTGTTGCAGGACTTGGCAGTGTTTGTGCCACAGCCTTTACTTGTGGTGGGTTGTCTCCATGTTGTTTCCTGTTTCTCTTAACTGAGTAAAAGTTTCAATGCCATATAGTTACCAAACCTTCAGAATCGTCAACTAAAATCTAATTTGCTGTTGGAATGATGTCCTAAAGAGGTTTCTAGTTGTTGGTGGGAAAATTTTTTTCCCAAATACTAATTTATGATCAATGCATGGCCTCCCATTCTTTTTTAAATTTGCAAGTGAATAATAAGGGTAGGACTATGGAAAAACAAATACTGTATAATATTGAAATTGTATTTCACAACTCACTTGCAGGACATAGCCAAATATATATTTACTTTATAGCCTACAGTGTTTGAAAACCAAAAGACCTGTCTTAGTTCAGAGAGCATGTCACATTGACACATTGACACATTGACATTGATATATTGAGATTTTCTTATATGTTGTGTATTTTGGCGGGAAAACGTTTTTGGCGGGAAAGCTTTTTTTGGGGGAAAAGTTATGTTAGGTTTATTCTTTAGATGATGTAGTGGACTAAGTTTTGAACATTATTTGGTACAAAACACCAAGCAAGTTTTTTCAAAATATAACGCGGCTATCAACACTGTCATAGCAAAATGTTAACGCCATTATCACTATAAAATTAATCAAAAGTTGCTTTGGTTCAAGATTTAGTTTTATTCTTGGCGTATCCCTGCTATGGTAAACATACTTTTAGGTGCTTTTCAGGTTTGCAAAACATTTTTAATGTTGAAAATTTTACTGTTGCATGATGATATAACTGAGAAATTCTTCCGATGCATACAGGTATTGTAAATATTTGGCATACCGACATCAGCGTTGATCCAATTTACCAATATCACATCGGTACAGCGGCCAATCACATTGCTTTAACGTCCAGAACCAGTCCATTACTTCTGAGCGTCACAGGAACCGACATTCGTGTCGATCAAGTCAACGACGATGGACAATGGCAGTTCTTGCATAGCCACACTTTTGAAGATAAGGTGAAATAATTTTTGTCCATCTAGTACGGATTTCTGAGGTCGTTTCCAGTGCTCTCTGTCACCCGTTTAACTATTAGCAAATTATGAATGGACTGCTGGTATCACTGTAACAAAAAGAGCTGATTTTGATTGGATATGTAGAGAAAAACAGTGTAAATAAAGTTAGTTTAGTTTAGGTTTCGTCGTGTAGTGACACTGGATCAATAAGAGATGATCCTTACTGAACCTCTAGGAAGAACAGTTTAGAACTGATAGAGCTATCCAGTGTGAATAAAGTTTAGTTAGGTTAGGTTTCCTCCTGTAGTAATGCTGGATCAATAAGATATTATCCTTACTGGACTTCTAGGACGAACAGTTTAAAACCAGTGTTTAGAACTGATAGAGCTATTCAGTATAAATAAAGTTAGTTTAGGTTAGGTTTCCTCCTGTAGTAACGCTGGATCAATAAGATATTATCCTTACTGGACTTCTAGGAAGAACAATCCAAAAATGATAAACCTATCTGGGATAAGTAGAATTAAGGAATGATGCAATTATTTTCATTTAGGTAAATTTCATAAAAAGCTTACAGGACGAAAACAAAACACTCTTCGCACTTGCCCTAAAAGAAGATGTATTCATTTACGAAGCGAAGCTGAATGTCACGAGGGAACTCGATAAACTTGCTGGAACGAAGGTTACATCAATGGATTGTAACAGGGACCTTATCGCTATTGGCTGGGCACCATTTGGATTTGGCATTGGCAATGAATTTACGGCTAAGGTAGGGTATGGTTCAAGCGGAATCGGGATACTACTTGTGCTGGTTATATAAGATTTCAGCAAGGCAATTTGCATTTTATGACCATTGTCTTACCACAGCCTTTTCTGTCTTTTTATCCCAGGTGCGTCTCTACGACATCGCGACCCTCCGAAGTTTGTGTTCTTTTATCGGCCACCACGCCGACATCACGTGCTTGAACCTTAGCTTTCTGGGAGGCCTGGTGACTGGTAGCAAGGACAATCGTGTACGTGTGTACGATTTAAGGGTCGAACATCCCCAAATGATCCTGCGAGGTCATTCGTCTTTAGTGACCACGGTGCAAATGGACTCTTGGAAAGTGGTCAGCGGTGCTTACGATGGTACCCTCAAAGTATGGGACCTGCGAATGGGTGGGGTCCTATGGGAAACGCGGGCGTCCCACCCTGTGAGACTTGGCCGTTTTAACGCGGAACGATTAATCACGGCAAACATACCCGTGGACAAGATGCCACGGATGAACATGTGGTATGCTGACGATCTCATCCAGCATCGGAGGCACAGGGGTACCGTACAGGTGTATGATTTTGGAGTCGAGGCCGGTGCTGTTGTTCCTGAAGAAATGAGATCGAATTATGATGACATTTCCGGTTATAATTATAATATAAACCTTGTAGCTCCTTATGACACGCTCGCGAGTGAAATAAATTAAATATCAGATGATCAGTTTTGTCCGCAACGATTGACGTTTGTTTATGCTTCGTCATCCTTGGGAAATTGCCCGAGGATACGCCATTTTGAATCGTATAAATAAACCAGTGTACGTAAACTAACTGCCTAAAATAGCCTTAAAACGTCTCGACGTTTCGACGTAAGGGCCTTCGTGAGATGAGATAGAAAGGGAGGAAGGAAAGAATGGGGAAGAACATGTTTTGTATGAGGGGTAAACAAGCAAAAGGAAAAAAGGTAGACACTGAAAACAAATTAGAATACTATTCTGCTGTCTGTTCGCGGGCCAAGAACAACCAGCAATTAGGGAGGCCTAATCTGGCAATGGAACAGCTCAGGGAGAATAGCTCAATATTTTTTCTACTCCAGGCGAAAAAAACCGCATTTAATAGGACGTATTCACTATCATTTTGTATTCCTTATTCCTTCTATTTCATTCATACGTCTTAATTTATCACGGTTGGCGCTATTTTGGTTTACACTGCAAAGACTACACCTGCTTTTCTGAATTTCGAATTTGAATCCAAAAATTGAAGGGATCAGTTTAATTAAAAAACAATGATTAGTCGGAGATGTTTCAAGTATGTAATTATGATAGAAGAGAGTTTATCGGCAAATCTTTTATGGCCATCACAACTAAATGAAACATTTATAATTAGAAGTTGTTGCATTTTTCCAATCACGTTTTTTTCTGGCGCGGTCAGCTTTGAACTCGGACAGATTTAGATTCTTAAATAACCCCGGCCTTCTTTCGAAGAAATTGATAAAAATATAAAATGTAGATAACGTGCATGAAAACAAATCACTTGACCTAAACTAATTTTCAGTGTGC